ATAACTTTGAAAATGACAGTGGTCAGCTTTTAAAGAAGGAGAATGTCAGTAGTAGCATAGACATCCATAAGATTGCAGTTAAGCCATAACTGGTTTGGCTCAGTGGATAGAGCATCGGCCTATGGGCTGAAAGGTCCCGGGTTCGATTCCAGTCAAGGGCACATGCCCGGGTTGCAGGCTCAATCCCCAGTAGGGGGCATGCAGGAGATTCTCTCTCATTACTGACGATTCTATCTCTCCCTCTCCCTTCCTCTATGAAATCAATAAAAATATATTTTAAAAAAAGATTGCAGTTAAGTAAAAATGATTTTGCCAGCCAATTTGCTTACCATTGAATTTATTCACTTTATCTTTAGGAACGATAATCAGTTCAAAAGCACATAGAATACTGAGATATAGCCCTTATCATTTCTCTTAAGGGCCACTGACAACTTTTCAAAATTTACAAGTTTAATGCTATTCATAGCATTTCAGGAAAACATTTTCTTTAAAAATGAAAAAGCGTACGTTCCTGTTCTCATCTCAAAGGCCTGGTATATTTTCAGAGGCAGAAACATACACGAAGACAAAAATGATAAAAATCACCCTGATCTCAACTTTGCCAAATATAGATTATTCACCCTATTTATATGTAAATCACATAACTACCATGACATATAAAATCTAAGCATGACATCAGTGCACAATATCCCTAACTATTCAGGCTTCAGCAGTGCTCAGCACTCAGAGCTCTGTGAAATGGAAAGAAGCCAGAAATCACAATCTTTCCTGCAATGGGAGCCTGCATTTCAACGATGGAAGACTAATGAAGGCTTACTTTGAGGGGATTAGTTATTGAGCAAGAAACTCAGTTTGGGATTGTATTACCCTTTCCCTTAATGAATCATTTGTATTGTTAGAGGTACAGAAAAGTCCCCTAAACAATTATTTTAAATGTAAAGCAATGAAGATAATAATTCCGGGGGGGGGGGGGGGGGAGAAACACTGCACATATAAACGAATCAAATGCAACTAAAAATAAGTGATTACCAGAGTAAGAAAAATGTTAGAAAAATTCACCATTTTATCACACCTCTTACACTACTACTAATTGTCAACAATCTCTATATTTAAAATATCAAATCCTCCCCCAAACCAACTTCAAGTCTGTTTTCAAAGTTAAATTTAAAAATAGTTTTAACATTTTCATGTTATCTACAGATAAGAAACAGGACAACTAAACACAACAAAACAACAAAAATTAGGATAAAAGATTTCAAAAACAATCTTCCTATCACCAATTTAATGTTCTTTGTTAACTACCTTTCATTTGCCCATTCTCTCTGACAAGAGAATAGTTGCAGAAAAGGGAATTTTCTCTAAGATATACACTCTGTCCCTTCATTTCTCTTTGTTTATTCTAGAATTCTCAATAGTGATGGAACCATTCCCTTTAGGGTGTTTGGAAATACATGTAGAGTCATATTTCAGAAATAGGTGTAAGCATTTCATTGTTACAGTGATTAGGGGACTGCTACAGAGAATCAATGGCTGGGGCACAGGAAAGCACAGCATTTGCCACATTCTCCCATCCCGCATGACTTAGTAATGTCTCTTAAGACTAATCATACTACATATTAAAATCAATATTACTTTCATAATAATGGTATTGAAGAGAATACCATTTTATAAGAATTTATACAAAAATGTCCCAGTAATTATAGGAGGGGATCATAGCAGAGAGGGAAGCATGAATAGAACAATGATATTCTTATCAAAATTATTAAATTACTAGAGGCCCGGTGCACAAAAATTTGTGCACTCGGGGGGCGGGAGGGAGGGTCCCTCAGCTGAGCCTGTGCTCTCTTGCAGTCTGGGACACCTTGGGGGATGACCACCTGCTGGCTTAGGCCCGCTCCCTGGGGGATTGGGCCTAAGCTGGCAATCAGACATCCCTCTGGCAGCCTGGGAGCCCTTGGGGGATGTCCACTTGCCAGTGGGGAGAAGGCCTAAGCTGCAGTCGGACATCCTTAGCGCTGCTGAGGAGGCGGGAGAGGCTCCCACCACCACCACTGTACTGGCAGCCGTAAGCCTGGCTTGTGGCTGAGCAGAGCTCCCCCTGTGGGAGCGCACTGACCACCAGGGGGCAGCTCCTGCATTGAGCGTCTGCCTCCTGGTAGTCAGTGTGTATCATAGTAACCAGTCATTCCCAGTTGTTCTGCTGTTAGGGCCAGTTTGCATATTACCCTTTTATTATATAGGATAGAGGCCTGGTGCATGGGTAGGGGCCGGCTGGTTTGCCCTGAAGGGTGTCTCGGATCAGGGTGGGGGTCCCGCTGGGGTGCCTGGCCAGCCTGGGTGAGGGGCTGATGGCTGTTTGCAGGCTAGTAACACCCCCTTCAGGGTGGGGGTCCCCACTGGGGTGCCTGGCCAGTGGGGACCCTCACCCATGGAGGTTTGGCCAGTCTGGGTGAGGGGCTGAGGGCCGTTTTCAGGCTGGCCAAGTCCCTCCCCCTCCCCCCCC